AAGAGTATGATTCTAGGACAGGAGGCCATCATCCGATCTTCCGGCCATAGCTGTGCGAGCATCAGGCTCCATGAAGAGGAGGGAGTGTGAGGACCCGCAGGACCGCCAGCTGCTTTCTTTAAATGGCATTTCACGTCACCCTACCCACCTCAAAGGCTGCCACCTGGACACCTCCAAATCTCATCCATATCAGTGATAGTACAGCCCCCACCCTGAACCTGCTATCAGCCAAGGCCTGCCAGCCTCCGGAATTCAGCCCTCCTCCCCTGAGTCCCGTCAGCATTCTTGGCCACATCATCATTTCAGCAGTTCCTTTGTCTCATCTCCTAGGCAAGCACATAAAACATCTCCAGTCATTTGCACATTAGGGATAGAAGCCTTCTGCTCAGCAGGCTGAGCACCCCTCATGATGCCAGGCCTCAGGCAGGAGCCTGCCCTCTTTATCCTGCAGCAAAGGCAAGGAAAGGACAGGTGGCAGTCCTGCCTCAGGCCCAGCTCCTTCTTTGTCCTGCTGAATGGGAAGCAACAGTAGGCTGAAGACAAACAGCACGAACAACCCTATCTCTGTCTGTCTGAGCCATGTCATACCTATGCTGCTGGTCCCCAGGACAGTGTCTTTTCCCCCAGGCGTTTTCCATATCGACGGTAGGCTGGTGCCAATCCATCTTTTAAACAGAGGCTGACCTGTACCCTCAAACCTGGGACCACTGATTTTGAGAATGTGAGCTCTTCCCCAAAGGTGACACATATTCACAGTGATCTGGAAATCCTACCCCTAAGTGTTACTCAAGCCATAGCAACCCTGTTTTCTGTTTATTTTTATTTTTGTTTTTGTTTTTTGAGATGGAGTCTCGCTCTTTAGCCCAGGCTGGAGTGCAATGGCACGATCTCGGCTCACTGCAACCTCCGCCTCCCTGGTCCTGGTTCAAGCAATTCTCCTACCTCAGCCTCCCAGTAGCTGGGATTACAGGCATGAGCCACCTTGCCCAACTAGTTTTTGTATTTTTTAATAGAGACGGGTTTCATTTGGCCAGTCTGGCCTTGATCACCTGACCTCATGATCTGCCCACCTCAGCCTCCCAAAGTGCTGGGATTATAGGCGTGAGCCTCTGCAGTTGGCCTGCAACCCTCTTTACTGTAGGACAAATTGATACATATTAGTTTGATGCATGGTCTGGCAATGGAACAGTCAGGAATCTCAGAAAATCCCTCCCCATGGATGTAGGGAAGCTATGGGCCTAGGAAGGCTGTGGGAGCAGGGGCAGACAGCCACTTCTCACTGTTGGGCAAAGTGTGTTCAACTTCAGTGCACACACACACACACACACACACACACAGAAGCAACTGTGCAACTCCCTTGCCTTTCCCTCTAGGAAGTACAGATGTGTCATACACATAGGTTCATTCATTCACTGAACAAGATATTTGCTGATCACCTGCTTTGTGCCAGGAACTCACTGTTCTAGACTCTAAGGATATAAATACAACAGATGGGTTCCCTCTCCCATGGCCTCACATGCTGGCAAGGGCAAATAGACAATAAGCAAAGACATAATTATCCATCAAGTGTGATGAGGGCTAGAACACTGGCCAGGGGAGAGGTGAGCCGAGGTCTGAGGGAGCTGAAGAGGTGAACCCCACCGACGTCTGCAGAAGAGCCAGCGGACGGCAGCATGGCCTTGGCCAGGCAGGAGCAGTGTGGGAGTTGGAGAAAGAGTGAGGGGGGTCTGAGGGAGGGGAATGCAGCTGGCTGGTCACTGGCCCTCTGGGGCCAGAATCTGCAGCCTCTGCCAGGCCTTTGGGAGGACTCTGGCTTTGACCCAGAGGTGAAGGGGAGGTGATTGAAGAGCTTAAGCAAGACTGAGGCATCGTGGGCCTCACCCCATAGCAACACCCACTGCTGCTGTGCCTGGAGAGCCGCTGCCCGGAGCGAGGGTCCAGGCAGTGAGGATGAGGAGGTGGTGGGAAGTGGCCAACGTCAGGGCTCACTCGTTGTGAAGGTGGCGCAGAAGGATTTGCTCCTGCGGAGTGTGAGAGAGCCAGGAAGATGACTCCGAGGACTTTGCCTTGAGTCAAAAGCAATGGTTCTCATTTACTTGAGATGGGGGAAGGTGATGGGTGGGAATCAGGAGCTCTGTCAGAGCACGAACCCCAGTATGATGCAGCTCAGACTTTCCCAGACACCCCAGGGGTTGAGGGAGGCAGAGTCAGCAGGGAGAGTGGGCAGAGGGCGCTCCTCCAGGCACAGCTCTGTGCCCACACCCACATCCTTGCCTTTGACTGTGCTGGCAGGACCATGCCACCCTCACTCTAGGAGGTCCCTGCCAGTTTTCATGCTCCATCTCCCCCTTCCCAGGAGCATTCACCCCTCCTAGAGACTCGATCTGTTCCTGGCCCACAGCCTCCTCCTCCCTAGAGCCCCAGGCATGCCAATGGGCTCCCGGGTCAGGAGGGCCCTCCCCACCTCTCTCTCCCTCTCTACCCCTCATGTGGTGCCTCCCCCAGACTTTCTTGCGGACGGCACCTGGCCCTCTCCCTCTGCAGCCAGAACATGCTTGTCAGGCTGCAGTTGGTCCCCATGACTGTTGGACATACCTGAGTTATTTCCCGCATGCCTCTTTATTTCATGAAAATGAAGGCTCCGACCTTCCATGGCCATTAAGGCTTTTCCAGAATCTTCCATGGTGGCTGAGTGCACAGAGGATCTCTAGGGGATTTGTGACTTCAGGGCACATGCAGACACTCTTCCCTCAGATACAGCTGGAAATTCTCATTATAAATATGCTCGAAAGTTGCTGGTTCCCAACCCTAGTGTATTGGCAAGTATTGGACTGGCCACGTGAGGATTACCCCAGCCCCAGAGTCAGAGATTAGGTTTTCGTGGTGCCAGGGAGAGACCTGAAAATCAGGAGTTAGGAAATGCTAACACACCCCTACTATCATTTTTGTTGTTGCTGCTGCTGTTGCTTTATTATTTTTTTTTATATATTTATTTTTTAGGACAGGGTCTCACTCTGTCACCCAGGATGAAGTGCAGTGGTGCAGTCATAGCTCACTGCAGCTTCGAACTCCTGGGCTCAAGTGATCCTCCCATCTCAGTCACCCCAGTAGGTAGGACTACAGGCATGTGCCACCACACCTGGCTAATTCTTTGATTTTTTAGAGATGAGGTCTCACAGTGCTGCCCAAGTTGGTCTTGAACTCCTGGCCTCAAGCAGTCCTCTTGTCTTGACCTCCTAAAGTGCCAATCCTCCCAAAGGGTATTACAGGCAGGAGCTACCACTATGCCCAGCCACCTCCACTGGTGTCGATCCTCGGGCAGGCTTGGGAAAACTGCTTCAGCTGTAAGAGGGGAGAGTGTTCTACCCCCAGAGAGGTTCTCTTACTTTCTTCTTTAAACAGATCACTATAGCCTCTAGCCTGCAGGGGTTCCAGGCAGTCCATCACACATACTGGGTTGTACAGAATTTATTTAAGAACAGAGATGGGGAAGATGGAGGGGGAAAAAACCCTGCAACCTTCTGCCTTCTAAAATTTAGAGCCTATTTTGGTGAGACAAGACTGTATGGTATAGAGCAGATACAAATAAATGTATATTAATATTCTGCAAACAGAGCGGGTATAGCTGGCAGGCAAAATAGAAGTGAGGAAAAGCTGGATTTGTGGAGGCCAACGGAGCACTCGAGGCTGCAGCTTGGTAAGGAGTTCATGTTGCCATCCAAACTGTGACCCCTCTGCTTCTGTCCCTTGGTACGGAACCATTCTCTGAAGACATGAACCCAGGCTGTGGCTGCAGTGGGAGTGGCTTGCATGTCACTCACTGAAGCAGCAAAAGCAATCCACTGGACTGGTGGTGAGCTGGGAATCTCTCAAGGTAGTGAACTAGGAGGCAGGCGGGCCAGAGGGGGCCATAGGGAAATGAGATTGCTCTGTTCTTGCCTTTGCTCCCCTCAGGGCCGTGTCCTTTGCCATGGTGCACTTCCTGATCCTGAGCTGACCCTCACGTAGGCACCCACCCTGCATCCAGCAGTCATTAGCAGGTTCCCCCTCCCACTTTTTCATGAGAAAGGAGTTTTCCCAGAACCTCTGTAAGACTTCTGTGTTTATAGTGGAGAGAGCCCTCAGGGCTGTAAGGAGTGAGGGCCTCCTCCGCAGGGATCCCACTGAAAGCCCATTCCACTCAAGACTGAGCTCCCACCCACTCAGAGGACTTGCGCTTTGAGCTGCCCCAGTGGGTGTGACAGGTTTGCTATAATCTAGAGTTTCCCAAACTCACCTGCTGATCAGAATCCCGTAGTATGCTTGTTAAAAACACAGATATCAGGACTCCGAACTACAGCTAGTGAATCAGAAGCTCCAGAGGAAGGGCCCTTAAAAAAACAAAATCTAAGGACGGGATGAACTTGGGAAACTTCACCAAGCCATGAACTTTCTGTTGCCCATGGGTGACTTCATTCCTCCCACTGCTAGATAGCTGCTTCCTCGGCTGAGCTCAGACTGGCATTCGTGGAGAAAAAAAAAGTTTTTTTCTGTTTAGCGAACAACAGCAACCACAATAATTCCCAACCTTAATCAACTATGTGCCAAGCACTCTATGGGGGGGTCTTTGGAGAAAGGTAGAACATGTCAGGCAATCCTGCCAATAGCCTAATGAAGCAAGGGCCACAGCAGTCTCCGTTTGTCAGATGGGGATGCAGAAGGCAGGGTAGTGAAATGTCTTGTCCAGAGGAACACGCAGCAGGTATCGGGCAGAGCTAGGTTGCCGGCTTCTGACCACTGCCCTCATCTGTCCCCCAACAGGTTAGTCATCCGGGAACCTTGAATTAACTCCCTCCAGGGTGGCCCAGCTCACAGCACCGCCGACACCCCTCCCCCAAGGACAGGGAAAAAGCAGAAATGGCAGCTCCTCTGAGAACCTGCAGTGGGCAGGTGTGAGAACGAGGCACGATGGGGAGGACAGCGAGGGGCAGGGTGCTGACCTCCCTCCTGTTGGCTCTTAGGTACTGGAACTCCTTGAGCAACCTGGTGGCATCCTTGCTGAACTCTGTGCGCTCCATCGCCTCCCTGCTCCTTCTCCTCTTCCTCTTCATCATCATCTTCTCCCTCCTGGGGATGCAGCTCTTTGGAGGAAAGTTCAACTTTGATGAGATGCAGACCCGGAGGAGCACATTTGATAACTTCCCCCAGTCCCTCCTCACTGTGTTTCAGGTAGGGACTCTTCTCTGCTGGGATTCGGACTCAGGGTGGTTGAGTGGCGGGGTGGTGGGGGGCGTGTGGAAAGCTGCATCCTTTCACTGGGCAGCCACAGCCAGCCTAGATCAGCCCTGGAGGCCCCATGCCCAGGAGAGTCTTGAGATTTTTCTGTAGTTTCCCCTGTCCCCATCTGCCATGGAATTCCACTGGTGGGTGGACCATTAGGGGAAACGATGTGGTTTAAAAACATCTTCTTATCCATGGACTCCTTTACTCAAATTCTCCATGAAAGCCCAAAACATAAACAAAGAAAAACAGACTGCTCTTATTGGGGGAGGGGAGGGTGACGAAGCCCTGGCTTTCCTACCCACCATGCCTGACCCTAGGAAAAAATGTTACTGGACCGCCAAATTTGTGATTTCATAGATATTGCGGCCTACGGCAAAATTAAAGTGGCACTTATTTAAGTTTAAAAGTAGATTGATTTAGAGGTAAAAATGAATCACATGTAGATGTTGTCACAGTCTTAAAGATGATGCCCCAATGATGAATGTTTGGGGAAAGCATGTGACAGTCTCAGCAAACACGCAACTGCAAAAGGCCCCTGATGCCTTACCCCCAGGAATGGCTGATGGTCAGCTCAAGCATGAGTGGGGAAAGTCAGAGATCTTTGTGCCAAAACTTGCAGTCACTCTTCAAATAATATTATGCCAATGGCCAGGCATTTTGTCTAAGGAGAGTTCAATAGCTCAGAGTCCCTGGGGAGGAGAATTGGGAGCCAGGAGGAGGGAAGGAAGCGAAAGGGAAATTTTGGACAATTTTGTTGAGTAGTGGGGCAGGGCAGGGTGGTTTTGGGTTTGCTGTTGGTCTAACGCTGTGTCCCTTATTGGTGGGAATGTGTCATTCAGATCCTGACCGGGGAGGACTGGAATTCGGTGATGTATGATGGGATCATGGCTTATGGCGGCCCCTCTTTTCCAGGGATGTTAGTCTGTATTTACTTCATCATCCTCTTCATCTGTGGAAACTGTATCCTTTGCTGCTGCCCCCCACCCCCGCGGCCCCCAGCCCCCAGCCTGCGGCGCAATGCCAAACGGGCACGCCCCCAGGTCTGGGCTGTCACCACCCAGCCTAGAACCCCATGGCGGCGGAGGTGGGTCTGGGTGGAAACCTGCAGCTGCGGCCTCGGGGAGGTTCACCCTCCTGAGCCCTTCGGGGCCGCAGCGGCGCCGCGCTCCAGGCGTGCTCCCGTGGTAATCTAGGCGAGCGGCGCCCCCTGGCGTTGCGGCGTGCGCAGCCACTCACGCGGACTGCGATAGGGACGCGCCGGAGCGGGCCGGCTGCCCTGGGGCCACTGCGTCTGCTCAGAGGCGGGGCGCTCGGTGAGGGAGGATGAGCCGGTGTCCTTGAAGTGACCTTCAGCTCCCCTCCTGCTTTTTGGTCAGCACCCCTCCCTCTGATGCTGCTCTCCAGGACTTTAGTCACAGGCAGAGCTGCGCAGACTTCAAACAGCCCCAAAAGCTCCTTCCTTTTCCTGGCTGGGGCAGGTTTCCAGGGTCACAAACCATGGGTGCTGCTTCTCCTCCCCAGCTCATGACCCCGAGAGAGTCACGTCCGGAGCCTGGGGTAACACGGGAACAGCTCTGGGCCAAGTCGCAGCTAAGGCAGTGCAGCAAAGGCAGTCATGGAAGCCTGCAGACAAGGTTTCCTCTTTTCCCAGCTGGGTGACCTCTTGCAGATTGAAGGTCCTCTGCCTTAGTGCCTGTAAAATGCGGCAATGGAATCATAGTCCCTACTACGTAAAGGGTCTTTGGGAGTTTTAATGGGATCATGCATGCAAAGCCCCTGCCACGTCCAGAAGCCTCCTGAGACAAGCCCCTCTTCCCCTGCCTGGGTTGTGGCTTCTCTGTGTGTGAAATGATATGAATGTCTGGGTGCCTGGGGCTGGGAGTCAGACTTCGCAAACTTAAAGCTCCATCCAGCTATGCTTTCTTTGATTCTGCAGTTCTCTGACCCACAGTGTTTCTGTTGGTGCAGTAGGGTGGGGAGAAAGGGCAAAGAACTGCCTCCCTTGGGAGCTCCCAAGCCTTGGCTAGCTCCAGCCGGACCCACCAAGGGCCTTCGTGTGTGCAGGCTCACATTAGAGTTGGCAGAGATACCAATCCACCCCCTCAGTGCCCAGTTATAATAAACCGCTCTTAAGAGCATTCTGCATCCTGCTAGAGACAATACTGTTTATAATGTCAATTACAGCCAGTCATCTCAGCGGGGAAACCAATCATGAAACCCAGCAATTAAAGTGCAAGGCAGGGCTGGCTGCCTCACTCCCGCCTGCTCCAGTGTGCAGGCTAGCCTGTTCTCAACTCTCTAGATCGCTCCAGGTAGCTGGGAGGGTGATGGGGAGGAAGGGGAGGGGAGGAACACTGCTGGGGTCTGACTCCCTCGAAGTGATTCACCCTCAAGCTCTCTCTGCCGAGGAGCTCTACCCTGCCCATCCTGTATCCCCCCACCCCCTGTGTCCACCAAAACCCCAAGCCAAGGGTCATTTTCTTTAAGAATGGACACAAACAGATATCCTACTGAATGTGTTCTTGGCCATTGCTGTGGACAACCTGGCTGATGCTGAGAGCCTCACATCTGCCCAAAAGGAGGAGGAAGAGGAGAAGGAGAGAAAGAAGCTGGCCAGGTAACCCTCTAAACTTGCCCAGGCCCCGGGCTCCAGGGCCCCCATTCTGGAATGTCATCCCACTGGTGGCAGAGAGAGGCTTGACTGCTAGCCTCTGTTGGCTGTCCCTCCTAGGAGGACTCTGGGTTTGGGGCTTCCTAAGTTGGACCTCTCTCCTAATCCTAAGCTTTACTCTGGTAGGGACCACTGTGAATTATAATAGTCTCTGCAATGGTGTTACATTCTCCACCTGTCTAGGAGGTTGGGATTATCTTTTGAGAAGCTGTGATAGGTGGCAGGAGTGTAAAGTGGGGAGAGAGAAAGGCAACCACTCAGTTCAATGGCGAAATGCAGCCCCAGCTTACAGAGGAAGTCCTCCTCACTGTGTATAATTCAGCACCAGTGTTAGGAAGGCAACACGGGGCCCTGTGTTGTATCCTATCATTGTCTAGATGGACAGTTGTAAGCCACACAGCTGCCAGGCCCTGAGCAGAGCTCCTCCAGGAGCCAATCCTAGATGAGATCCACCATCCTTCTCTGCTTTCGTGACCCAGGCATCTCTGGAGCTGCAAGAGGCCAACTGTGTGCCAGGCAGAGCAGGTGTGGCTCAGCCCCGTAGCGCTTGTGACTGAGCTGCACACGAGAGGTGCCCTGGAGAAAGGAAGATGGACACAGACCCAGGGGATCTGCCCCCGCTGGTCCCCACAGGCCACAGGGTGCTTCCCTCCCACACTGTTCCCTTTCACTCCAGTAAACAACCATTTATTTTTTTCTGCTGCTGACTGGCCAGGACTGCCAGCCCAGAGAAGAAACAAGAGGTGGTGGAGAAGCCAGCAGTGGAGGAATCCAAGGAGGAGAAGATTGAGCTGAAATCCATCACAGCTGACGGGGAGTCTCCACCCACCACCAAGGTGAGGAGCTGTCTCTTTCCTGGAGCTGTGAGGCCGGTGCTGGGGAGGGAGGGCCACAGCCTTCCCAGGCCAGACCCCCATGGAGAAGAGGAGAGAAAGAAAGACACCCAGTGGAAAGGAAGCCAGTGGGGATGGACAGGAGAGCTGGAACGGGGAAGAGAGGGCGGATTGGCTGGATCCCAGCCGTCCCCTGATGTCCTGAAGGGGATGTGCAAAGTGACAAGGACATATTTTTGAGCTAAGTCACTGACTAAAATGAAACTTCAAGGCTACTGCAAGCCTCTTAACTTGTGGAAAATATCTAACTGAATTCTTCCTCCTTCTCCCCTGTGACTGCCTAGATCAACATGGATGATCTCCAGCCCAATGAAAATGAGGATAAGAGCCCCTACCCCAACCCAGAAACTACAGGTACCAGTCCCACTGCCTAACCTGGGATTGGGAGGTTGGGGACAGAGATCTCAATTCTAAAGCCACATGGAAGTGGCCATGTATTAGGCACTATGGTTCCAGTGTCTCTCTACAAGCGTCTTACACTGCTAAGTGTCTTCTATCTCCATATTTAAGCACCGTCAGTCAGCATCTGGGAGACAGCTTTGTTTCTGGTTTCCTCATAATGAGATCACATTTGAGCAGTCCTTTTGTGTCCTTTCCAAGCAGGATTCTGTATACATTTAAATTTTTGTTACATTACAGATTGTAAAATCGATATTAATTTATAGAATGTATTAGTATGGCATATGTTGCAACATTATGCTCACTTAATATTAACAGTAAATCCCAAATCTGCCTTGCCCTTACTCAGGAGGCAGTGCCGAGTGCAGGGACAGCTGCCACCACAGATGTCCAACTTGTTGCTTTAGAAAATGATTTCAGGTCTCTGTAGAAGGAGATCTTACTGACTCCATCTTCTTGTGCTTCTATCTGATAGATAAATTGGCAGGCAGTTGGCTTCTCAGGGGCTTTAATGTCGGAGGTCAGAGGTCCTCCTTCCAGGCTTCACTTCCCAGCTCCCTGAAATCCCATACCCTGTCCAAGCCCTGGGCTTGTCTTCCTCTGACCTAAAATTGCAGATATGATCACCAGTTACCAGCTTGAAGTCAATAACATGCCATCAAGGGACTGTTGACTTTACTGACATTTCCTCGTTCCTGTAGAATAGGCTATATTTGTGCTGTTCACCAAGTTAGGTGGCTGAGAACCTTCTACATTTGTGAGCAAAGCTAGGTTTCCCTTTTGCTCTCCCTCCACTGCTTCTGTGCTAAGAACACTTACAGACATCTTCTGTTGTCTTGGGAGCCAGACTCCCTGTGGTCACACCATCCTCATTCCCCTCCTTCTGCAAGGGAATAGGATGTGGTTTCCTGGAGCTTGGGTAGAAAGAACAGGGAGTTTCCATGTGCATGCATTAAGTCTTTGAAGTTCTTAAAAACCCTTCTAGGGCGAAACTTTTAGGGAATTTCAACAACGTACTAGAATCATTGAACAAATGCAATGGGAGGATCTTGTCTTGCTCCTGAAGCAACAAATACACTTTAAAAAGACATTTCAGAGGTAAGTGGGGGAAATTGAACAAACTACATGATTTAAAGTAGTTTTGTTAATCTTGTTGGTATAATATTCTGTAGTTCTGTTTTTAAACTGCTGAAGTGTTTATGGCCAGAATCTAAAATGTTTACGAGTTGCTTTGCTTTTTAAATACTCCAACAACAAAAAAAATGGGACGGAGAAGATAAATGGAACAAGATCAGCAAAATGTCCAAAGTTGTTGAAGCTGGGAATATATATATGAGCTTTACTATGTGAGACTCTACTCATGCCTAAATCTTTAAGGTTTAAAACAAAAGGCAATAATAAAACAAATTCCTTAGGGCCCTGAGAAGAGCCTCTCATGAGGCCAGCCTCCAGGATGGGCCTCCCTGCACACACAGCAGGGCAGATCTGATATGAGGGTCTTTTCACACAGGTACCCCGCTGCAGTCAGGCCTGTAGAGCAGATACACCTCTTGCATCTTCAACAAGAATCTGAAATTCTATTTTTCTAAATACTGTACTCATGGCTTTTGTCTTCTTTGTTGCTCTAATGAAATGAAAAAGAAGAATGTTGAGAAAAAAAAAGGGCAAATGAGGCTATTGACACCACCTTGGCCATCCTAGCTGTAGCTACGGGCGGCTCTGAGGACTGGGGGGATGCTTATGCTTCCCAGCTGAAAAGCTCTTCCCAGCCTCTGATGAGGCCTCAGGATTCTTGAGTTTTGTGAGCAGATGGCCCACTCCCCATCATTTCTGTTGGTTGCATGCATCTCTACTTTTGTGTTGAGACCTAAGGCTTCCCTAACTGCCCCACCACATACGCCAGCCATCACTCTGGCCTTTGAAGCCAGCCCCAAGCATGCCCATTTGTCTCCTGGTCCTCATCCAGGAGATCTAAAGGGCAGCATGCTTTTAAAGCCATTGGCTCCACACATTACCCTACCCCCAAAGGCTAAGTCAGCCTGTGTTTCCCAGCTCTTCCTGCCTTCCCATTTCCTCCCTTCCCTGCCTCCAAAGCCAGCTCTTGGATCCTTTAGTGCCAGGGGCAGCAGAATTTCCCAGAGACTCCTCTGAGGAGCACGTGACCTGTTGTCTCCGTTCTGGTCAATCTCTGCTTCCTTCCTGCTTCTCTTTCTTCTGAACCATGAATGGCAAACAGCCTGATCTATCACTGTATTCTTGACCTCTGCCCCTTCCAGGCCTCTGCCCCCTACTGTGCCCGGTTCATGCAGGTGCCCCTTAGGCACCTCCTGCTCTGCCTTCAGTCGCACTGCTAGAAGAAAGGGCCAGTGCACGGGAGCACACTGCCATGCTCTCCTGCCACCTCCCCATCTCTCTCTTGCCCTCTGTCCTAGGCTGTCCTGTCTTCCCCCTCCCTCTTAGGCTGTCCAGGTTGCACCCAAAGCCATGGGATCTGGCCAAGTGGGATCTGGACTTCAGAGTGCGCTCTGCTGGCTGCTGCTTCAGTTGCCCTCACATGACCATGAACTCTCAGAGGAGGGGCCTGTTTCTGATTCAACAGGGGGCCGTTGAGGCCAGCCATGGCCCTAGAATCCTTCCCTCTCTGTTTCATCTGAAAAGCTCGCCAGCTGGTTTCAGCCTCCAAGATTGGCGTACCCTGATTATAGAGAAAAATCCCAACTCACTGGAAAGAAAAGCATTGTGCCCAGATGAGTGGAAGCTAATTCTACTTTTGTTTAATTTATTAGTATATTTGAGTGAGGATGTAGATGTTTGCAAGAGCCATTAAGGACTTAAAGTTAACAGGTACATGTTAAAAAGAAATGCGTGCCACCAGACACTGAGCAGTCAGCACCACCTGTGCTGGGGGAGGCTTTCACTGTTGCAAGGGTTCAGGGACAAGGAGAGCCGTGAGCTGGTGGAATCTGGGGGCTTCATACAGAAGGGTGGTCTTGACTGAGCTTTGAATCAGGGAGTTGGAGAGGCTGAAGGAGTTTTTGCAGGATTATACAATCGTCAGAGATGCTGAGAGTTGGAAGAAACCTTGGAGATGTTAATGAACTACTCATGAAGCACTTACTGTATGCCAGGCACTGTGCTAAGTACAGGGACATGGGGGTTCTTGTGCTGGATGGACAGGGAAGACCCCCGCCCCCCTGGAGCTGACATATCAGTGGGGAGACAGGCAGCAGGCAAACCAACCAAAAAGGTGACATCGCATGATGTGAAGATAGTAAAATCAAGGATTGTGTTAGGGGTGACTTGGGGACCAGGCTGCTTCGACTGTGTGGTCAGCAAAGGCTTCTCTGAGGACACAGCATTTGACTGGAGCCTGAATGATTCAAAGGAACTAGACATGGAATCAGAGCGAAGAGCTCTCTAGGTGGAGGGCCTGAGTGCAGAGCCTCTTACAGGGGGATGCACTTGGCTGTGGGGACTCCAAAGAGGGCCAGTGTGCCTGAAGCAGAGAGAACCAAGGGATAGTGCCCTGAGGCAGGAGGCTGGGGCAGGACAGGAGGGCAGGGCAGGAGGCACGGGGCCACATGGGAGACTGGGTCTGATCCAGTGCCCTGGAGGGCTGCCAGAACGTCTGAGCAGAGGAGGCCCTGACCCTGTGTCCGACTCACCCTTTCAGAGATTCCCTCTGGGTGCTCTGTGGATAAAGGGTGGTGGTGGTCGAGAGCAGAACTGGGGCAGGGAGGATACTTGTCCAGTATCCAGGCAGAGAAGATGGCAGTTTGGGTAGGGAACAGTGCTGGAGATGCAGAAAGGGGTCAGGCTTGGGGTACCTTTTGCAAACCAACAGGATTTATTCATCGCTTAGATGTTGGAGAGAAAAAGATGAATGTAGGGTGACTCTGAGGTTTTCTAATTGAGCCAGTAAAGAGAAGATCCCCAATGCAGAAACTATATCCACCACCTGTGCTCCTGGTGCCCCAAGGCCCTGCTCTAGGTATCTGGCCCTTACCAACCGTGCACTCCCTTCAACTGGTAGCAGCCTCTTGTGCTCTGCTAGAAACTAAGCTCCTTGAGGACAAGAGCCACGGCTTTCTGTTCTCAGCCTTGGACTCAACACTCTGTAAGCACTAGATCTTACAAATGTCTTTACTTTATTTGGCCAAGAGCAAAATCACAGAGGCGAGGATGAGCATCAAATGGAGAGGAGCAAGGCTTCCCGAGGACCAAGGCTGGGGCTTTGAGTGCTACCCTGGTTTTACTTTTGAATCCTCTGACCTGCCTTCTGTAATGCAGCAGCAACTCCAGAGTGCAGCAGAGCCTCACTTCCCTTGCTTTTTCCAAACCTCCAAGAACAAAACTGAAGAAAGAAAGACGCCTGATGTAGTCTACTGGCATTTGGGAGTAGAGTCTAGGTGGTTCATTTGCCAACCCCAAAAGGAACCTTGCCTGACTTTTCCTGATCTGTCAGCCTCCTGCCTTTTCCATAATACCTGCTAAGCATCACATGCTGTCAAAGTTGTGTCCCTTTTCACATCTGAGTTTGTCCTTCAGAAACCGTTTCCTCTCAAGCACTGTGCCTGCAGTTCCGCTGCTGTGCGTCTGAGTGGACCAGCTAACTTGCTTCTCCCCAGGAATGGAGCCCAGCACAGAGCTTCGTAAACAGGAAGGGAGCTCATGCAGATGGAAGAGCCTGCACCATTTTCCATTAGGAACTTCGAATGGCACAAAGTTATAGTAAATATGGGTTTCTATAAACACAAAAGATTAAAATAAGCATAAAATTACCTATTACCAAATTACCATGAAGAAGAAAGTGTTGGGTCATTTTGAGAAAAACTGAAAAGAATACAAACATCTAGGCAGGAATTTAAGATCCTTCTCAATTAAATCTCACTTGTAAATATCATGATTTAGGCCAATTCCGGTTTTACTCATTCTACTTCAAGTAGAAGGCTTTCCTTTTACATTCCAAGGGTTGGGTGTCACAAGAGCTCCAACTCTTGGCCTGTAGTCAGCTTTCATCTTGGGCCTCTCTTCTGCTGAAAAAAAATATTAATTGTCATGCTGGTCAGCTCTAATTACCCCAGAGAAAGGATCTGATTGATGCCTGTGTGCTGCTGGTCCTCCAAAAAAGCCTTGGGTCCCTAAATGCTTGAATGTGTTTTGTCTGATAAAGAATTGCTTTCTGTGCCAGGCATTTTTTTCTTTGCAGTACCTGGCTTCATTTGAACCAGAAGAGGGAGAACATGGAGAGGCATGGCTGCATCCGTGAGATGAGCATCCCATAACTATCTTTTTCCAGCCAGACTAGTATTCCCTTCACCTTGGTCTTACGCAAAGTCCCCTTCCTTCTAAAGGGTGTGGAAGTTCAGTCATCCTCAAGAAATAAAGGCATCCACTGCCAGGCATGGCTTTTCCTTCCAGGGTTTTCAGTACATAGAGAGAAAGGACAGACATTTAAAATCAGTCATGAAGGCACTGGAGGCAGAAGGTACTGCTGGTATTCACAGGAAGTTCATTCCCTGGAGCGCAAGTACTCAGGAAAGCTGGGTGGAGGATGCTCTCTAGCACTGGGGGTCTTCGTGTGCTCTGCAGAGAGGGAGATGAAGAGCAGCTCAAACAGGGAGAGAGCATGAGGAAGGGCAGGGCACACAGTGAGCGTGTCAGCTCGCGAGGGCTGCCGTAACCAGTGACCACATGCTGGGTAGCTTAAACAGCAGAAATACGTCCTTTCACAGCTCTAGAGACTGGAAGTCCTAAATCAAGGGGTCCACAGGGCTAAGCGCCTTCTGAAAGGTTCCTGGGAAGAATGCTCACTTGCCTCTCCTAACTTCTGTGGTTGCCGGCAGTTCTTGGCTTGTAGATAGATACATCCCTCCGATCTCTGCCTCTGTCTTCACATGGCCCTCTTCCCTAAGTGTGTTTTTGTGTTTCTGTGTCTCTCCTTATAAGGATAACAGTCATTTCTTTTTATTTTATTTATTTATTTTTTTGAGACAGAGTCTCCCCGTCATCCAGGCTGGAGTGCAGTGGTGAGATCTTGGCTCACTGCAACCTGGGCTCAAGTGATTCTCCTTCCTCAGCCTCCCGAGTAGCTGGGATTATAGGCACGCATCACCACACATGGCTAGTCATTAGATTTAGGGCCCATCCTAGCCTAGATTAAACTTCATCATCACCAATTCCATCTGCAAAGGCCCCATTCCCAAATAAGGTCACATTGCGAAGTTCTAGGTAGACATGAGTTTGTGCAGGAAACTGTTCAACCTGCTGTAGTGAAGTGTTCACAATATAGGTTGATGGGAGCGGACAGTTTGTTAGGGAATAATAGGTGGTAAGGATCTGACTGAGAAAAATGTTGAGCACTAATTTACAGGCTTCAAGTCTCTCCCCTGCGTAGAGGTTGTAATAAAAGCAACAAACACTTACTTAACATATTAGCTGCTAAGTGCCAGGCACCGTTCTGAAGTATAGATGTACCATTATTATTCCACCTTACGTGGAGAAACTGGGGCACAGAGAGACTCAATAAAATGCACACAGCTAGAAAGGAACAGCCAGGATTGTGATCCAGGAGACAGGCTGGACAGACTGCTCTTCACTCCCATGTTGTTACTCTCCCTTCTGAGCATCTTAAACACATTTACCTAGCACAGGGTGTTCAGTGCTTGCTCCCATGGGCATTGTGCTTGCAAGCGCAGGAATAAGCTGTTTGACTTCGGGCGGTCCACATTAAATGTGGCCACTGGCCGGGAGCACAACGGCACTTCTTTAATTGGTGTCAGTGTCTAAACCTTTGCACGAAGGGCCTGTTGTGGTCAGTAGTATTGTCCTGTTATCTCAACAGCATTTTTTTTTTTTTTTTTTTAGTTTCAGAAATTGGGAAAGTGTTGGTTTTTCAATTCCTGGAACTTCCAAGGGTGGGGTTATTTGCAAGGGATTCCACAAGCCAACTAAGCCACACCTTTTCTCCCACCTGCCGCCTAGATAGATGAGTAATCCCTGGCAGTACCCTATCCTACCTGGTCACCTTTTCTCATACCTTACAACTAGGGTGACAACCACCCCAGTTTGCCCAAGACTAGGGGGTTTCCTGGGATGTGGGGATTTTGGTTTTAAAACCAGGACAAGTTGGTGACCCTACTTACAATCCCCCTTATTGTGTACTGCCAGATAAGTCCTTTCCAACAGAGATGAGTTGCAGCAGCACCCACAGGGAGACAGCAGAATATCTGCCTTGGTTGGTACCCTACATTTTCAGAGCCACAATGATGTCTGCCAGTAGGAAGGTCTCTGAAAGTGGTAAAATAAGTGGGAGTGCTGGAGTTATTTAGAATGGTGCTGTTCTTCTTACAGGAGAAGATGATGAGGAAGAGCCAGAGATGCCTGTCGGCCCTCGCCCACGACCACTCTCTGAGCTTCACCTTAAGGAAAAGGCGGTGCCCATGCCAGAAGCCAGCGCATTTTTCATCTTCAGCTCTAACAACAGGTGTGCGGCAATGGTGGGGAAGGTGGGGTCCTGCTCTCTCTAGTACCAGCCCGACAGTTTCCTGTATTTTACCTGAACTGCTGAATGGAGCCTGAGACTCTCCCAGCTCCCTGCAAATTATATAAATAGACACCGATTTAGGGAAGAGTCCTGGATTTTGAATCAGAAGACCTGTGTTCATTTTTCTCTCCACTTTTTGAAATGTTTAAACTCTACTTCTATTCCTTGAGTGATTATGTGATGTTAAACAGTATCAAGAACCTCCTCCTATCCATTAGATTGACCTTAGAATATTTTAGCTCACTCATCTCCTTACTTACCTGGAATTGTCATTAGTATTTTAGTCCAACTTTTATTCTTAACCCAACAAGTTAGTGAGTCTTATTATTATATGGATTGTGTGTTTGGATTTATGTACACCTTACCATTTTATTTGTTCACCATTTTTTTACTCATTTCAGTCCATCTTTTTGCAAACATTTTCTTTCTTCCTAAAGTACATTCTTTAGAAGCTCCTATAGTTCCACAATGGCAAATTCACTTGGCCTCTCCTTATCTATAGCTGTTGTCACTTCTTGCTCCTGAAAGATAGTTTGACTTTGTACCTCATTTTAGACAGACAGGTTTGTCTTGCCGCACAAGAAAGGTGTTATTCTACTGTAAAGTCAGCTGTCATTCCAACTGTGATTCCTTTGTGAGTAACCTAACCTTTATTTGTAGCTGCTTTTAACATATTCTGTTGCCTTTGTGGTTGTACAGATTTACTACCATTTGTCAAGATGTGGATTTTTTTCCGTTTGTCTTGCTTACAATAGATTGTGCTTCCTAAGCCTATGGATTTAGATTTTTATTCAGTTGTTGAAAATGTGCAGCAATAATTTTTAAATATTGCTTCTCTTTAATTCTGTATTTCTTCCTTCTGACACTCCAATTGGACATCTGTTAGACCTTTTCATTCTGTCCTCCCTGTTTCTTAGAGGGTCTTACATATCTTTCATCTCCTTGTCTTTCTGTATCCTAGGAAATTTCTTCAGCTATATCTTCCAGTTTCTTAAATCTATTTTCGACTTAATCTATATTACTGTCTAAACGAACTTTTTTATCTTGACCATTGGATGTTTTTATTTCGGTCAGTTCCAATTGTTGCTTCATTTTCCCGATCCATCACTCTAAATCTAATGGTTTCTATCAATTTTTCATCTTTGTGATTTAGTCTTTTATTTCATTAAATATTTCAAATATGGTTGTTTGATAGTCTATAGGTAATATTTCCAATACCCCAGGCTTTGGGGTCTAAATCACTTATCTGGTGTTTCTTCTGATTTCTCATCTTAGTGGTTTGTCCTTTCGTGTGTCTGGTGTCTGATGGATCTTTGATTGTGACCCCAACACTTCCTCTTCATTTGTGAGAGTCCTGAGGACCTAAAGTAGGACTGGGGAGACTTTCAGATGCCCCTAAGAGGTGTTGGCTCAGCCTAAGAGTCCCAGGCTTCCTTGCCCCGCCTCAAGATTGGCTTAGCCTGCAGTTTCTTGACACCACTGTTATTGGCTTCCATCCTCTGGCAGCTCTGCCTTCCTGGCTCTCCATACATAGCCTCAGCTCCCGGGGGTTTGTGGTGGGGGGGGGTTGTTGGTTTGAACTAGATGATTCTTGCAGACATCTCCAAACTCTCATAAGCCAGAATTGTCTCAGAGAGTTTGACCCGTCGAGGGTTTAGTGCTTCTGCAGCAGGAGGGCTTCTTAGAGCATTTAGTCAACCATAATGCCGGCAGCAGAAGTCTGAAGACCTGTGTTGAAGCCCTGACTCCCCCACACTAAGGCTGTGTTTCTGGGCAAGCCTCTCCTACTTGGGTTTCGGTGTTCTTATCTATGAAATGAAGATGATGACACTCATACCTTCCTCCCTACACTGTTGTCAAGATGAGATGGTTACAAGACACTTTGGCTTTTAGGAATCTAGAATTTTTGGTACTGTCACTGGGTGCCTAGAAGTTCAGTTGAATAATCGTGCCGGGGCACGGAAGTGAATTACACACAGGAACAGATACCCACGGAGAGTCGGCTTGGCTGGCCTCTCAGCATACCCAGCTCCAGGTAGTCCTGTAGTTCCCTATGCGGAAGCACAGAGTGGATCACATAAAGTGACTTGTTTTCAATGATAGCGAAAGTAAGTCCCCAAACAAAAGCCAGTTGTTAATCTCAGAGCATGATTTGGAAATTCAGAGAGTCCCCAAGGTCTCCAATGTAACCTTCCAAAATGTCAAAGGTGATATGTGCGCCATGGGGGTGAGGGGTTGTCATTGCTGCTGTCATAAGCAGCAGTAAGACTTCAGAATGAAGAGGTCGCTTTAAGCCAACAAGCGCCTGTTGCCAGCTGCTGGAAAGAGCTGAGGAAAGGGGCTCCCAAGAGCCGACTGCTGCTCCCCTTGTCTGCCTTGACTTGTCTCTCCTCCTGTCCCCCCTCCCATACAGGTTTCGCCTCCAGTGCCACCGCATTGTCAATGACACGATCTTCACCAACCTGATCCTCTTCTTCATTCTGCTCAGCAGCATTTCCCTGGCTGCTGAGGACCCGGTCCAGCACACCTCCTTCAGGAACCATGTATGCATTGCCTGTGTCCTCTGCACTCCTTACCCCTGGGGCTGTGCCGGGCCCACAGCTTCTGTTGCTGACATCATTGTTCAATCAGGAGCCCAGTTCTAGATGTCAGAATCAGATCCACAACTAACATTTCATTAAGAGAGTAGGGCTTTGATAGAAAACCAACTTAGGATCACAAGCAAGTGAGAGAGCATGTACCCAAATGTTTGGGCTCGTTTGTTAACTGGCAAAGGTCGGGACTTTCATTGCCTGTGGATGTTCCCCAGGAAGCTCTGGTTCCCTGCAAACTTGGGGAAATGTGGCTGCCGACTACGGGCCCCGCCCTGCTCCCAGAGTACTCTGACCAGAAGGGGAGCATCGGCAAACAGGTGCCACTGATAAGCCTGACCTTACCTAAAAGAGAGTCTTGGTGCCTTCTGTAGAGTGGAACCAAATGTGAGGACCCACCCAAGGCTCTGGTGAACAACATTAAAGGCCAGTTTAAGAATTGCCATATCTCAAAACTTTGTCAAGTCCCAACCAAGTGAGCATGAAGAGAGCCCACTGGTCTAAAGCCACACCCATGCCAAACCACTCTGTGGCCCTGGGGCCTGCTTGGTCCAGGGCTGTCTTACTGAGGTTAGCAGATGTTGGCCCCACCCCTGATCCATCACCTGAGATATAATAAAGTATGCAATCGTGGAGCCGGTCCTCAGCCTGTGCAGACCTCACCTGAGGGATGCACCTCCCTTACCCCAGAGGACATAACCCAGGAATAGATTTCCACCAACACAGGAAGCTGGCCAGCTCAGTCCCACCAACGTGAGTAAAGCATTTTGAATCTCCCTGCAAAAAGACAAACCCCATTCTCTGTCCTTTTGACAAGCATCTCAGTGGTCCGATTTGGGTTTGTAAGTAAATTGGATTAATGGGAAAAGCATCCAACCAGATGCTGCTCAGATCCAGTACCAGCTGAGGCCTGCCCTGGAAGCTCACCTCACTTGTCTGGGGGCTTCAAGGGAAGCCGCTGGGCTGCCCGAGGCTAGCCCCGCCTCAGGATCGCTGTGTGCGTGCCACTCACCCCCCATTTCCATCTGTGTCCCTGCACAAAGGCTCAAGTGCCATGCATCTCATTTTGAAGTGTGGCCCCTTTTCTGGTGAACATCCACCGACCTCTCCTCCCATCCTGCTTTTCTCCCTTCCTTATCCCATCCCCACCCTGTTCCTTTTTGTTTTGCAGATTCTGTTTTATTTTGATATTGTTTTTACCACCATTTTCACCATTGAAATTGCTCTGAAGGTAAAGCCCCCATCCCCCTCTGCTCCTCCTGAGCCCCTTGCGCCAGCACCAGCTCTCTGCCGCTGTCTGTCCTAACACACATGCTCCTTCCTGTTGGTGTTGGGTTCACTCTCAGAGCCACTAATCCAATTATGCTTATTTTTCAGATCCTAGGCAATGCAGACTATGTCTTCACTAGTATCTTTACATTAGAAATTATCCTTAAGGTAATGCAACCTGGGCAATGCATCCTCTGTCTCTTTCTTTCTCTATCTCTGCTCTGTCTGGCTGGCTCTTTTCTCTTTACTGTTTCTTTCACTCTTTCTTTTTTAACTCCCAAGCCTGAAATTAGAAAAATGAGTGCCCCTCGCTTTGTGTGATGCACTTTGCCCAGACTCAGAAGCCAGGAGCAGCCCACTCCACTGCAGTCCCTCCCTCCAGCCGCCCCTAAGCAGTCTGTGGCTTGGAAGGGACACATGTTGGCTGTGCCAACATTGAAGCTGCCATTTCATTGGTTTGGGCTGCAGCCATCAGCAGTGCCCGACACACATGCCCACGCACACCAGCTCTGGTTAATTGATACCTGAGCCCTTGTAGGACTCTCCTTCCCTCCTCCTGCATAGTCTCTGAAAGTGGGAAACCCCCTGGGCGTGGAAGAATCACTTTGGCTGCCCTCTTTGGATGCCCATTTGCCCTCAGCACCTTCCTCAGTATCTGCAGCAGACATTGAGTCTAAGCTGGGGTTGGGGCCAAGTAACAGCGATCACAGGCCTAGTGTGAGATGTGGAGTTGGTCTCCCAGCTGAGGGCCTCCCACAGACAACTATAGACTACTGCCAACCCCTCAGTCACCTGCTGCAAAGCTTTGTCACAGTGTCCCTTGCCCTGAGCATGGGGGAGGGAGAATTGTGCTGGAGAGCTGAGTTCAGCAGGGTGAGAGCAGGTGCTAAATGAACTTGAGCACGCAGGCCCCAGCCCTGGGCTGCTGCTGACCCAGCTCAGTTCTGCTGCGGGAACTGCTACAACATTGCCGCCCTCAGAACAGGCAACGCCCACCTCTGATAAACACTGGGAGGAGAGAGAGAGTATTTCTCCATTTTTCTGGTGTGTTTCTGAGTCTGGAAACCATTGCATGGCCAAGCTAGTTCATCTGAGTCAGGGTGTGAGTTCCATGACCTCAGGGAACATGTGCTCCTCTCTGAGCAAGGGAGAAGATTCTACCCTTTCCCCAAACAGAAGGACTAAGGCTCTGAAGTCCATGCTTCAGCTTTAGCTTCTTCCTGGGAGACTGGCCTGGGACTCCCCCTCCCAAGGAGTCCAGGCTCCCTTGTCATCCTATCGCTGTGGCCGATGCAAGCTGACGTCACACCTGACTGATGCCACTGCCAGGTGCAGGCCTTTCCTTCCCTGATGAGACTGCCTCATCATGGCCAGCCTGTTGATGGACATGAAAAACAGTCACTTCCAGAGATGAATGGGTTTTTGTGTGCCTTCCCCTGTGTCCTTGTCCCCAGGGCACTCAAGTGCCCCTCGCTTCCATCCCTGGTTCCTGCTAACCAAGTATGTGGCTCAGATTTTTCTTTTCTACTCATGGAGAGTAGATCTGGCCAGGCACCGGTTCCTGGAGGTGGGGAGAGATAACCAAAAGCTGCGTGGCTGCACTAAGATGCACTGCGGCGAAACCTCTCTACCGTGGCGAGCTGCTTTGATTGCCCGACTTCAGATGCAGGGGGGCACACAGACACCAGAGTTCTTTCCCAGGACAAGAGAAGCTCTGAGGCCCTGCTCTCACTGCTCTTCTGCAGAGCTGCCCTTGTGGATTTCAATGGTGCTCTTTCTCCTTCGGGATTGCCATACAAGCCTAAGTGAAAGGTCTCTGCAAGCATTGTCATGGCAAGGTCCCTCCCTCCCCTCCCACCCCTCCCTTTCCTACTCTCTTCTACACTCAGTGTGCTTCTGAATAGAAACCCCGATGCCGGGACACTTTCCTATACCTCCTTCCCACTGGGTCCCTCTTCCTGGCCTGAAGGCCCAGTGTCACGTCGTGGCACAGATGACCGTGGCTGTCCAAGGGGGACATATAGCACAAGGAAGAGTAGAAGGGCCTGGAGATGTTTGGCCTTAAAAAGGAAAGGCGTGTAAGCCCACGACAGTTGGCCTGAGTTATGCAAGGGACTGTCACATCGAAGAGGAAGAAGGCAAATCAGGACCAGTGAGTGGAAATCACAAAAGATAAGACAGGTCTCAAAACTAGAAGAGGTACCTGGACAGGTGGGGATGGCCCGTGATTGAGCAGAGAGCTAGTGAGCCACACCCCATTCCTTTCCTTCCTCACGAGGGAAGCATCTCAGCAAGGGCCCTTTCCCAAGTGGTGTAGAATTGGAAAGCAGGACCTAGGTGGCTGGCAATCAGAAAAAAAAGGATCAATTAGCACTGGGTACCTGAGCCCGGATTTTTCTGATGCCCTAAATGCCACAGATGACTTCCAAGTAAAGGCTCCATTTTCCCCATGTCCATTTGCCCTTTCTTCTATAGCCACTCTTCCTCAGCCCTGCCTGGGTGCAAGTTCCCACCGCCCCCATCTGCACACACATGCACTTGCTCAAGTGTTGGTCTCATTCAAGGGTCCCCAGACAAACAGGAGCCCAAAGCCAGAGGACAGAGTTGGCACTCTAAGTGTCGTTAGTCCACCCATCTGAGGACCATTTTCCCCCAAGCACAGAGGATTCTGTTAGAGCTCAGTAGTAGCCTCAGAAGATCCATTCCAGAAGCAAGAAGGGATCAGACCCAGAGCCTTCCTAACACTAAAAGCGAGGTGACTGGGCAAGTATTGGGCCTTCTGCAGGCACAGAGGGCTCTTCAGTGAGCTATGGGAGCCTCCTGAGTCCAGTCCCTGGCCGTCTCAGGTCTTCACTGAGAGGCAGGGAGGCAAGCCTTCCAGATGGTGGGTCTTCTGAAACAATACTCCCTTGCATCTTTTATATAATCTACCCACTTCTAAAAACCATTGCACAGCACAGGTGCCTGAGTCCTGTGGGACCCCCTGCTGCAAGAGATAAATGGAAAGAATTAGGTTGCAAGAGCTATTTTTGCCCATTTCCCCCTGTGTTTGCTTTTGAATGGCTCTGCGGACACTCTGCCCTGGGCATGCTCTGATTCCAAAGAGATTAACTGGACCCCAGATGACCAGGGAGCCTCGCTCCACCTCTGCACCGTCAGCTCCTCATTTTCCCTTTTGGCCGATGCTCCCTGTCCTCTGCCTGTCATAGCCCCTATCCTGGATAACCATTGGCCCTTGTGCACGCTGGCGAAATGGGAAAGGCTGTAAAGGCGATCTGTTGAGCACCTTGCTGTGCACAGCTTTACACCCGTCTCAGGGGGAGGTAATAATGGCCACGTCCTCTAACAGTCCTCGTCATCTTGTGCGTTCTCTTTTAAAAAGTTTCCAAAGGGCTTTCACAAAGGCAGGGGATAGTATCCTCGCATGATGAGAGAACAAAACTCCTCATCCAGGAAGCATCCAGAATTCAAATCCAGGCTGTAGTGACAGCTCACCCTTTTACAGAGCTCATTGTGTGCAGGATGGAGCCCTAAGTATTTTACATATAGGTTCTCGCTTGATGCATACAATCCTGTTGGGTAGATCTTACCCTCATTTTTCCAATGAGGAAACAGAGGCACAAGGGGAATTGAGTTTCTTGCTCCAGGCCACAGAAATAAAATACCATAGGGCTGGGATTCCAGCCCAGGCAGCCTGGCCTAAGAGCCTGTGACCTTAGACACTGAGCCATATAGCCCCTCTGACCACACAGCTTTTGCCCTCAAAGAACCCCAGATGCAGTCTAGAAGCGAAACAGTAGAAGTGAGTTCAGGATATGTGGCATCAATCATAAGCACCTCTGAGGCCAGAAAGGGGAGGTATGCTAATTGCCAGAGTCACCAGTGGAACTTCTCACCAGGCACCAGGGTGACCAGTCTCAGGCCTAGTTTGCCTAAGACTGAGGGGTTTCCTGGGATGCAGGATTTTCAATGATAAAGCAAACCTTGGCAAACCGGGACTGCTGGGCATGCCCGCCCCCAACTCCCTGCAGATGCCTGGCGCTCTCAGCTGGCCTAAGGACTCAAGCGTTTGGAGAGGCAGTAGGGAAGTGTGCCCCTAGCCCGAGAGCATCAGCAAAGGGTCCTGCAGGGCCAAAGCCCTGGACTTGGGTTGTGGAACAGTGGTAAATTAGAGTGACGTGGTGGGGCCTACTTGAAAGGGCTTTGAATGTAGGACTAAAGAGTCTAGCATGGCCTGGCAGGTGTAGGGAGCCACCCGGAAGTCCTGGGCCAGAGATTCTTAGGTGGTTGTGTGCATGGTTGCAGAACTCTTGGCACCGTATCGCCGTCTTTGTCCTTCCTGTTCCCCATGGATGGTGCTTGGGACTTGCCCAAGGGATGCTGTGGGAGGAAGGGGCGGTGTGAGGGGTCTCTGGGCTACGGCTAGGGCCACTCACACTCGTGTTTCTCTGTCCCTCCCTGCAGATGACTGCTTATGGGGCTTTCTTGCACAAGGGCTCTTTCTGCCGGAACTACTTCAACATCCTAGACCTGCTGGTGGTCAGCGTGTCCCTCATCTCCTTTGGCATCCAGTGAGTGAGACCCCCTCAGCCCACGATGGACCATGCAGCTAGCAAGGGGTGCCAGAGAGGACAAGCAAACCCTGAAGGGCCGGCCTGCAGGGCCACGGCAGTGTGATGAGAGCGGGCTGGGGCCTCCAAAGCTGTATGTGGAGGCTTTGAGTTCTTAGATTCGTGTCCTCAGGGGTCTGACAGTTGGGACATGTTGATCAGGCGAGAATATGTTTAAATACCTGGGTTTTGCCATGACAGGCAGGGCCAGGCCCCGCTATTAAGAAATGGCTGTCTCCAGGACCTTCCTGCCTCCTCCACCACGGCCCCAGTGCCCTAGGCTGACCTTCAGCAACCCACTGCCATGACCTCCCCTGACCTGGACCCTCCTCCCCCCTTTCTCTCCCTTCTCTCTCCAGCCAAAGCACCTTATGTGTAAGTGTATGTGTGAATGTATGTGTATATGTCTGTGCATGTGTGGGGTGTTTGTGTGCATAAGTGTGTATGTGTGGGGTGTGCATGTGTGTGATATATGTGTGTTTGTGGGTGTGGGTGTGTGTGTATGTGTATGTTGACCAGCCGACCATGTGTATGTGTCTGTGTTCATATGTGTCTATATAGGTATGTATGTGTGTATATGTGTATGTATGAGTGTGAGAATGTATGTGTGCATGTGTGTATGTGTATGTGTGTGACTGTATATTTGTGTAGTGTGTGTGTGTGAGTGTACATGTGTATGTATGCGTGTGCACGTGAGTGTGTGTGTGTGTTTTTCATCTCGCTGGTCTGGGGTACAGTCTGGATATGAGTTCTAAGAGCTCTCCAGGTGACTCCCCTGTACAGCCAAGGTTGCAGATCTTGTTCAGGTGTGAAGGATCTGATTACTAGTTCCTACCAAGTTCTAACAGCTGACAGTGTGAATCCTGCATCTTCACTTTCAAAACACTTCCACATACACATTCTTCTATGGTCCTCACACACACAAAGCTATGAGGGAGACAGGGCAAGTGTTATCATCATGGTATAGATGGGAAATTTGGGGCTCAGGACAGCATGACACTTGCTCAAGGTCACACCTACGGTAGAGAAAGGCATAAGTCTCAGGGCTCCTGGATCTCTCCTCCAAGGGTGTTTTCATGATCGAATGAGATCAGGCAGGGACAGGGGCCTTGGGAATGACCCTTTACTGTGATCATCGATTATTACCCCCTATTTTCTGCCTGGTAACCTGCAAGTCTAGATTCAAATCCCAGCACGACCACTCAATCACTATTTAACCTTGAACCAGAAAGTCTTCCTCTTCAGCCTGTGTTTTTCCCATCTGACCTTTAAATCCCTTCCACTGGGATGCAATGCAAACTGACTCCCTCCCGGAGAGACTGTAGGAGAGGCACAGTGATAGATAGGAGCGGCCTTTGCATCTCTTGGAATAAAAGGCCCATGCACCAGAGAAATCGGATCTTTCCACCAGCCCCTTCTTGAGCACATCATCCTGACCATACAAGGCATGTAATCACCACTTGCTGGCCTGACGTTCATTGTTTAAGTCCCAAAGCAAGTATGAGACTCCTGAAAGCTTGAGAGGCTATTTCAGGTAGTTAGCCCACGAGGGTTAGGATGTACTCCACAGCTGCTCACCAAGGTGGTATGGTTAATAACCCCCATCTGGGTAGGAAGGACAACTCTGGAAACCATCCAGGCGTTTTGCTGAGGGGGCCTGGCTCCTGCTGTCTCCATCACATTGAGGAAGAGCAATAGCTTGAGATTCCAAGAAGCTCTGGCTTGGCCTCGGCATCCCAGCTGTGTGGAACCTGTAGTGCAGCGCAGGAGCCAAAGGGACTGGCCTTCTGAAGGGTGACCGAACAATCAACTCTCAAAAGAAAGGCTAATCGGAGAAAAGGCGTTCACATTTATTTAACGTGTATACCCAGAGCCTTCAGAATGCAGACACAAAGATACAGGGGAAATTGTCTACTTTTATGCTTAGGTTCAAAAGAGTATGGACAGCCATGGAGAAATGTGATTGGACAAGAAGGGAGGGATCCAATGTGAATGGACTAAGTGGGGAACCCAGTAAGGCCTCTCTCTAGATTCTCTCTGTGAAGCATTCCTTCCTTCTGTGTGGGGGACAGGATCCTCTCTGCAATACGGGTCGTAAGATCTACACTCCCACATGGTAGATTTGATAAGTTTTTATGGCCAGTTTTTATACAGAAAAGCAGAGGGAACATTTGAGTGATGCTTTTAGGTTGTGTGGCTGGTTTTGGTGAAACGGGGTTCTGGGCTCTTGTTTCTATGACCCGTCTCGGGGAAGAGGGATTCTAGTGTCTATGGCTAGCCTCGGAGGAGAAGGGGACGGAAGGACAGGAGGGCAAGAGAAGGCCAGAGAAAAACTTTTGCTTCTGAGACTGCTTCTAAGGCAGTCATTTCAGGGTGTTGTTTCCTGGGCCCCAACTAAAGCCCATCCTTCCTTGGAGTCCTGAGTGTGCTCTGGGTGGGTTTTATGTATAGGTGTCAGGGGCAACTGTCTAGGATATGTGTTTGAAGCTAAACACTAAGAAATCTCCTCCCCGTGCCCATTGCCTCCAGCCACAAGGCCCGAGATCCCACCATTAGTACGGCATCCCTTTAAGTGCAATGATATCTTCAGCAGACATCATGATAAATGGCATCATTCAGGCAGTTCATCAAGCACACAGCTAGGTGATTTATATAGAATTCTTATTTAACCCTTGCAAAGCCCTTCTGAGCTGATTACACTCCCATTTTACAGATGAACAAACTAGAACTTAGAAAATTTAGGAAATTTGCCCTCAGTGCCTTGGCTAGCAAGTAGCCGTGAATTCCCATGGCCTTGCTCTGAATTTCTTTCTCTGACACTGTGGATGCCCCTGTGAGTAGCACAGTACATTGCTAATGACCTGCCATGAGCCACCTTGCATGTTATTTATTCACCCAAGGGAAAGCCCCAGGGTTACAGGCAAGCTCCTGGCTCTCACAGGGTGGGAGACAGGAGTAGAGAACGGACCCAGAATGCGAATGTCCCTGAGATGGACTTTATGTTTTCTCAGGTTTGCCCGGGATTCACCTGTCAGGACACTCCCTTACCACATTATTTTTGCTCCCCCAGAAACAGGAGGAGCTTACTACACTGCCTATCTCCCTCTCCCAGGTCCAGTGCAATCAATGTCGTGAAGATCTTGCGAGTCCTGCGAGTACTCAGGCCCCTGAGGGCCATCAACAGGGCCAAGGGGCTAAAGGTGAGTCGAGGGCAGGTGTAGGAAAGCTCCAGCCAGCCCTGGGGGAGTGAGAGGTGAGGGGCCGGTTGGAAGGAAAAGGTGATGATGGCCAGGCCAAGTGGCTGCCATGTGGGGTCCCGGACGCTGGTCCCACTGCATGTGCCTGTTCCGTAATGAACAGGGTAGTAAAAGAGGCAGCCATCCAAAATGTCTTCCCTAAGCAGAATGTGCCAAACGGAGATCCCACGCAAACCCTGTGCCCCTGTGGTGCTGCCGTCCCTATATCCCTACCACTGTAAGATGGGCAGTTAGCAGGGTTTTTCTCCTCGTAGTCACGGAGAGTCCAGTGGGGGCCTTTACATCCCATTAGGGTCCATCACTTCCCATGTGACTCTGGGAGCCTGACTTTGCCCCTCTCAGCCCAATTACTGCCCCCTGCGGCAAACGGGCTGCCCTGCTACCTCCTGGAAAGGCTCCCGGCATCTCCTGAAACCACGTCCCTCTCCCCTTCCCTTCCCACTTTAGCATGTGGTTCAGTGCGTGTTTGTCGCCATCCGGACCATCGGGAACATCGTCATTGTCACCACCCTGCTGCAGTTCATGTTCGCCTGCATCGGGGTCCAGCTCTTCAAGGTAAAGCCTGGGCTCCGTCGTGGTCCCGCTTACCCCATCCCATCAGCATTCCCGGGGAAGGGAGTTGGCAGATGCAGCACAAACAAGATAGTGCCCTGGGCCAGACTCGGCCTGGACGTAACCTCCACCTGCAGCCTGACTCAAGCTTCAGACCAGGGGAGGGAGACATCGGGCCACCAGGCCAGAGGCCCCTCACTCTCTCCACTTCACCTGCCGTTCAGGTCACGGCCCTTCCTCCCTGTGGAACCTCTGTGTCAGTCACTTGCTTTAAGCTTGCAGCAGTGACCTGTTATCAACAGCATCATGTCCCCACTGTACCACCCAGCTTTCAGAGCCCTGCACTTGTCAAAATCAGCTCCCACTGCTCCCTGCGGGGCCCCTTGGCTACAATGAAGCCAGCGTCCTCCTTGGGTTCTGGTCCTTTTTGCCCTAACCCTTTTAGTTCTGCTATTCTCCCACCTAGAGCATTCCCCCCACCACCCCCAACTGTGTAAACTCTCATCTAACCCTCCCTGAGCCCAGCAAGACCTTCCTAGAGAGCACAGCTCCGATGGACCCGAGCTCCTGTTTTTGCATTGAAGTGCTAACTTGTAGCACTGGCATCTGTATTCGCCACTGTTCAGTTCATGTGGGTCAGGCCCTGCCCATCTGGGTTCTGCACTTTTCATCCCACTGTCCCTAGCACAGCGCTGGGCTACAGAGATGCTCGCTAATTGTTTTTGGATTGCCTCACTGATTAATGAACATCTCTAATAATACTCTGTTCTCTGCTTTCCAGGGAAAGTTGTACACCTGTTCAGACAGTTCCAAGCAGACAGAGGCAGAATGCAAGTGAGTGGAGAGGGAGGGCAGCCCGGGCCACGGCCGGCCAGCCCCGGGAGGCTGGAGGCTTGACCCAAAGGGAAGGACAGCTCATTTTGTAAGACCGCAGTGGCACCTGGACTTTTGCCCATGTGTCACCTGGCCTCACTGACACAATGTGTAGCATGTTTTGTTCCTGAAGTTTCTGCCCACTGAAGCTCTTCCCCTGGCTAGAACTGTGAAGTTCAAGCCAGGCAGTCCCATCCCACCCAGCATTCGGGTCACTGGCAACCCAGGCGTGAAGGAAGATGGGAGATCCCACAGTAAACTCCTTCTCCTCCTCTCTCAGGGGCAACTACATCACGTACAAAGACGGGGAGGTGGACCACCCCATCATCCAGCCCCGCAGCTGGGAGAACAGCAAGTTTGACTTTGACAACGTTCTGGCGGCCATGATGGCCCTCTTCACAGTCTCCACCTTTGAAGGGTGGCCAGAGTGAGTATGTAAACCAAGGCCTCCTGAACCCTAACACTCAAGGGCCAGCACTGACTTTCCATCCCATCCCCAAGTTTTCTTAATGTCCCGCACTCCTTGTGAAGGTCATGTTTTGCTGGGTCCTCCCCGGGCAGTGAGGTATATTTCCAGGACAACTTATAGGCCACTGTCACTGCTGAAACATAGACTCTTCTTTCTCTAGAAGGTGTCAAGAAACTCCCACCAAAAATGACCATTTTTTTTAGGTCTCTTTCCAACCTCAACATGAGCCACAATGTGAGAGGTCTCAGTCTTGCCCTTATGGCATTTGGGAGCTGGGTGTAGGGAGAGTTTCTCCAGTGTGGGCCCTGTGGCCACCATAGGATTCAAGATTACCACTCCAGCATGCCCTTCATTGGGTAAAGATGGCTGAGATGCTTCTCTTTTATTGACTGGACCCCGTCTCCTTAGGAAAAGCCTTGCCTATATTTACAGTGGAAAGTAAGAAAGGCGTGGAAGTGTGGACCCCACTTCCGCTGCAGAGGCAATGCGTTCGTACCTACAGCAGCCCGTGGGCTTTGCATGCTGCATCACCTCTACCAGGCAGCTTCCCATCAGGTTCTTATATCTTTGTAGAGACACCTGCTTTTCCCCTAATATTTCCAGTGACATTAGAATCTGAAAGTGAAAAAATTCTAAATGTTTCTAAGTCAAGAGCAATGCGTGGATATTAGGTGAGAGTTATCAATATTATGTAGTAAAATATAGGTGATATCTGGAGGATAACCAACGGCTGTGCAGGGCTGCAGAGGACGAGGAAGAGATTATCCCCGTCCGTGAAGAGTAACAAGCTCCATGGGGCACACGGCCCAGGCTCAAATGAATGACATACACATGTAAACTGCTTAAGTCTATGACCAGGCCATGGTGATGATGGGAGTAGCATGGGTCGTGCGAGTGTTTTTATCTAAGTGGAAATTTGCTCTCAGAGAGATTTATTTTACATTCCCTCTAACATCCTCTGAGTCCACGCCAGTTTGCAAAGCTGTCTCAATATTTACCACTATTTCCAGTATTTGAAATCAATGTCCATGACTCATGTTACATTTAAATAGTTCTTCACAGTTTCAAAACACCTTCTTATATATTATTCTAAGAACCCTGCAAGGTAGGAAAGTCAGGAATTACTGTCTCCAATTTACAGATGAGGAATTTGAGTCTCAGAGAGGTTAAGCGCTTTGCCCAAGGTCACACAGCCAGTAAATGGCTGAGCTGGGACTCCAACCCAGAGCTGTCTCCTGCACCCTGACCCCTGGGATCCCTGGCGCAGTGCTGCCATCCTTCCGCAGAGGGGATCCAGCCTCTCCAGTTCCCTCTGTGGGACCTGTCTCCTCCTGCAGGCTGCTGTACCGCTCCATCGACTCCCACACGGAAGACAAGGGCCCCATCTACAACTACCGCGTGGAGATCTCCATCTTCTTCATCATCTACATCATCATCATCGCCTTCTTCATGATGAACATCTTCGTGGGTTTCGTCATCGTCACCTTCCAGGAGCAGGGAGAGCAGGAGTACAAGAACTGTGAGCTGGACAAGAACCAGGTAGCTTCCTAGGAAGGAGCAGAGGGAAGCGAAGCCCACCCTGCGGAGGGATTGTCTCTTCACTCCTCAACCAGAGTGGGCTCTTAGTCTCTGAGAGACCTGTGCAAAAGAAACGCAAATCCCTGCAAACCCCAGAACTGGCAAATGTACTCAGCCACCAAATATCTGTGAAGCTTCTACTTAAGGATACTCTACGATGATAGGTTTTGTCAAAAAAAAAAAAAAATCTTATGCCCTATGTAGAAGTTGACAAGTTAGAAGGACCCCAGTGGGTCAGCACCACTTAAATGGAGGAGAGAAACTAGAATTGTGAGGGAGTGACGGCTTTGGGGAGGGGGAACAGGACGGTTTCGGGAAACCAATCTTATGTGGTTTCTTAAGTAAAACCCAGAGGCCTGTGTGGGAGGTGGGGGAAGGAAAGAAGCTTACGTGGGAGTGAGATGGTGACGCCAAGTATCGTGACAGGTTCTGTTAGCCGTGAAGAGCTGGCAGTGCTGTTGCTGAGTCAGGAAGCTGTCCGGGTAGGAGGTTGGTGTAGTCCCTCAGTTCTGCTCCCCAGCTTGGCTCCCACTGGGAGGAGTCTGTGGGGAAACACATCCTTGTCTGTGAATAAGGAGTGCCTACGGGAAGGAGCACAGCATGGTGTATCCCTTGTGACCCCCGCCAGGCCAGCCAGTCCCCTGGGAGTTGTCCTGTTTACATCTCGGCCACAGACTCACCCTCCTGGCTGCTGTATGGACCCTGGTTTGAAAGAAGACAGGAAAGAGGGGAGGCCAGTTAGAAAGTAGAAATGAGAGAGGCTGAGACTCCGATCTAGTGTCAGGTTAACGATGGAAAGAACAGGAGGAGGTGGAGTGTGAAGGCTCAGGCGTCGGACATCAGGGCTGAGGCTTTGAGAAGAGGCTGGGGAGATTCCCCAGCTCCTGATCTGGAAGTCTGGGCACAGTGCAGAGAAACGGACTGGCTCTTTTCCAGAGTCCCAAGAATCTAGTTAGCCCAGAATCTTCTTCCCTGTCAATGAACTGTGTCTTTCCATCTTATGGACACTGGCAAATAAGAAAGATTCATTTAGTTGGCCAAGCGTGGTGGGTCATGTCTGTAAAACCAACACTTTGGGAGGCCAAGGTGGGTGGATCACTTGAGGCCAGGAGTTTGAGACCAGCCTGGCCAACATGGCAAAACCCCATCTGTACTAAAAATATAAGAGAATAGCTGGGCGTAGTGGTGCATGCCCGTAATCACAGCTACTCAGGAAACTGAGGCAGGAGAATAGCTTGAGCCCCAGAGACGGAGGTGGCAGTGAGCCGAGATCTCACCACTGCACTCCAGCCTGCTGGATTTAGGACAGGAAAGAAAAACTGAGGAAAGAAGTAGCCAAGGAGGGTCTGTGGCATGGGAAGCAATCGGTGAGAAGGCCAGCTGTCCATCCGCCAGGAAGCACAGCCTTAGCCATGCCAAGTCCCTGAGGAGCCAGGTGCCGGGCATCACGGGGAGGGGGGAGATATGAGCTCCCTGCCCATGTGCTCGATACAGGGATTTGACAAGAAGGGGTTCTCTCCTTGATTAAGGGAGCCATGGAAAAATCAAGACATTTTCTAAATAACACCTCCGACCTGTAAGTGAGCTAGAGCAGCCGATGAGTCCTCTGACTTCCGGAGAACCCCGCCCCACAGTGTGTGGTTTCATTCACATCCCGCACTTCTCAGCCAGCCCCACACACCCTCCAGGTAACTAACGCCACTCTCCCCATCCTCACCACCCTCCCAGCGACAGTGTGTGGAATACGCCCTCAAGGCCCGGCCCCTGCGGAGGTACATCCCCAAGAACCAGCACCAGTACAAAGTGTGGTACGTGGTCAACTCCACCTACTTCGAGTACCTGATGTTCGTCCTCATCCTGCTCAACACCATCTGCCTGGCCATGCAGGTCAGTAGGAGGGGGAGCACAGCCACGGTGCCGCAGGAGGGAGCGGGCCACGGGGGTGGAAAGTGTACCGGAACGGCAGGGCTGTCTCAATGCATCAGCTGCCCGGTCACCAAGGGAGGCAGCTGGAGAAGCACGAGTGTTCTCTGTCAAGGATGCGCTCCTCTCTGGTCCTTAGGGAAGAGTCCATGGCACCCTGGGCTGATAAATGGAGAGAGGGGAGGAGATGGAGAAGGGAGGGAGGGAGTGAGCTGGACGCATTCGTTGTGTCGGTAAGGCATGGTGTGTGGAGGTGGCTTCTGCATCCACCTGTCTTCAGGGACAGAGCTTGTGCCTGAGCTCTCTTGAGTGCCAGAAGTCTCCATAGAGTCATCACGACCAATCAGGAAAGGAACACAGATGTGTTCAGAGATGGCAGAACAGGGAAGAGCCTGGAGGCTCTCCTGAGTCCTCCTGACTGCCCATGGAGAAGTGGATTTGGTTCGGGGAAGGTCTTGCTGAGGCGAGGGCCTGCAAGAAGGCTGGGCAAAAGGTGGGGAGGAGGAGAGACCTCCTGCTCCATGTTCACAGCTGTTCCCCTCTCCTGATGCAGCACTACGGCCAGAGCTGCCTGTTCAAAATCGCCATGAACATCCTCAACATGCTCTTCACTGGCCTCTTCACTGTGGAGATGATCCTGAAGCTCATTGCCTTCAAACCCAAGGTAGGCCTCTGAGAAAGGCTTTTGGTTCCCAGGCATCAGGGGTGGGCAGGACGGGGAGGTGTGGTGCAGGTATTGAGGGAGAACGAGGGGAAGAAGACATGGAGAAGGGCCATCGCTGCCCTGATGATCTGTGCTCCAACTCCTACCCCTGCCCAGAGCTGAACCCAGGCCAGGAAACACTCTTAGCTCATGGTGTTGACCCTGGCTGGGGTGCACAAGCAGCAGATTCCTCACTGAGCTGAACCTCTGAGCCTCTCCTTCTAGGAGAGGCAAATGATGGTCCCTCTCCTATGCCCCATTCTCTAGTATATAATCTGTTAACAGAAGAAACTATGTCCGTAGACTGGCAGACCAAACCTCTCCGGGCCCAGCTCTCCAGATCCACACAGGCCTCTGTTCCACCCTCCTCCCATTTCATCCGCCACACAGACCAACCTCGTATAAAACACTCAACCAGGGCTGGATTTGCTCAGGGCTCAGGACTCCAGCCTAGAGGCGCCTCCTGTTCCCTGCCGCAGAGGTTATGGCTTTGCTCCTTACATGCTCTGGGGCAGGAAGAGCAATTACTAGCAAATTTCTCTGCTTTGCGCCTTGTGTAAGGGCAAAAGATTAGGCCTGCTGCTGCATGAGGTGGGGTCGGATTTCCTGTCCTTTGGATCATCTGTGCTCTTCCTAGCCAGTCACCCCCACTGTCCTCAGCAGTGGAGGAGCAGATGCTGGCGTGAGCCACACCTTCTACCCTCAGCCTCTGTAGATGGGTCAGAACCACTGGCATCCACTGGCCAGGGTTCACCACCAGGACAGCTGCTTCTGAGGGGGGCTGTAACAGCAACTCAGCAGCCCCTAGGCTACCATAACAACTTTTGAGAAGGATGAGAAGGAAAGAGTTCTAGGAGAATCACACAGCTACAGACTTGAGGCCCTTAAAGACAGTCCCCAGGAACTGTAGAGGCCGTCCCTCCGGGCCCGGCCCCCCAGATCTCTCCAGCCCACTGAGCCTTGTCCTCCCTCCTTTAGCAGTTTTCCCAGATGCAACTCAGAGCAACAGGAGGCCGGAGCAAGAGTTCCTCGCCATATCTTCTATTTTCATTCAAGTTTTTACTGGTCTCAAGATTAATTGGGGGTGGGAGGGTCCAGCATGGCCTTCGAATCCATGTTCATTGAGAAGATATCCATAGTCTTCTTTGAATGAATATTCAATGCATGCCTTGGAATCTGAATCATGTGCTACACGTATATTGTTGCATGTCGTCCTCAAAACGTCCCTATAAAGTAGGTATTGGCATCCCTCTAGAGAGGGGGGACATGAGGCTCAAACAATTAAGTACCCAGTATTATTTACTCCACTCCTAAGAACTGGCAGAAGGGAGACGAATCTGGCACCTCTGACTTCACTGTATTTTACACCACACTGAGGTTAACTAGCATCTTCCCAGGTCAAGTGCTCTGCAGGTATTTTTCAGAAAGAAGGGAACAACCTTGGAGGGACTTAAAAGATAAGACAATATTCCTACAATACGGAGTCTTCTTCTTACTCAGAGAATGCCTGGGGATGCCAACTGATTTTCATAGAGTAAGGCTCCTAAGGTACATCCTTTGGTGATAGAATGGTGGTTTCCTGCCTTCTCTAGAGAAGCAAGTACTCTTTTTCACTTTCCTGTACAAGTCTTATTTAGGAGCACAGAACTTGTCCTGACCTAGAGAATACCCCTGGGTTGCCCTGACATCTTCCTTGGGACACACGGTGTCACTGCCCACGCATGGCCCTTTTCCAAGCCCTGCAGCCTAGGAGCTCTGACAGTTCACCACCCACAGCAGCATGACCAGCTGAGGCTAGGAGTGCAGTCACTGCCGAGCTGTGCCTCAGTCTCGGATGACATCCTCTCAGTGGGGAAACCGGCGTTGTTTACATCCAGTGTCATGAGACATATGGTTTAAATATTTCAAAGCCTTGAGTCATTCCACAATTGACTCAGATGTGTTTCTGACGATGTCTGAGGCAGTCTGGAGAGCCTGCAGTAGACTTTCTGAATCATGCCTCCTGAGCACGGGAGACATACGGACAACCTTCCCTGGGAAGTGCATGAAATTGACAGCTGCAGGAGCCTCCATCTACACTCCACCTAAATCCTGCAAATCAAGGAACAAGCCAGTTTCCTAGAAGTAACCATTGGGGGTGGACTAGACCATAAAGTGCCTCCTAATTTCCCCTATCCCTTGTTTTCTGTTATGAGAAGATGGAGCAAGATAATGGAGTCTTTTACCCAAGAATGAAGAGAGCCATCCTTGGGCCATTTGCATTTCACACGCCAAGGTGCATCTATGGTGTAAAGAGAAAGGGAAATGGATCTTTCCCTGTGGATTTCCCTAAAGGGGCTCTGGCAAGTTGGGGATAAAGGTCACCTCCCAGTTGGGAGGATCATGGAGCGCAGCTGGGTCCCTGGATTCTCACTGAGCTATATTCTTCATTCACAAATAGACTCCAGGAAAAGCAACTCAAAAATTTTCAGGCAGAAAACCAAATTGGAAAACAATTGAAGCTCTGAAAGAAATATCCAGCTGCATCTGGCCCAAGAACCAGTGGCTTCCAACCATGACCTGAATCCATGACAGCTTTCATTTCCCACCCCTACCTGGGACCCTGTGCTGTACTTTTTATTTCACTGGCATGGTTGTTTGTGTATGACCCAGATGAGCATAAGCATTTGCTGTGAAAGGACAGCTCGGAACCATGGATGTGGAAGATAGTCTGACGTTGCCACTGCTTATGTTTTGTCCCTGCAACTGGTTGGTTGGTTGGTCCACCAGCCAGTCAACTTGTATTCTTTCTTCATTCTTTCATCATCTTCATGGTCATGGATGCTCCCAATTCCTTCATTTCTGTGTGTTCTCCTCACCACTCCATGGAAAATAAATTTACTCAAGTCCCTGCCTTAAATCTAACCACTCCATCCCACTCCTTAAATGCATACTCTGTTCACAAAAAAAGATTCACAGAAAGGAACTAGGGACCAACATAAACAGTTTAGAGTGAGTCAGTCCCCCACAAAGCCTCAGGAACCCGCAGAGATGGATTGAAGAGAGTGGGGTGGATCGTGGCAGCATTGATTTGAACAGTGAACAGTGAGCCAGAAGGAGCTCCTTCCCTGGAAGTGAGAGGCCACGACCCGGAGACAACTGGATGGCCCCTACGCCCCACATGGTGGTGCAGGACCAGGCTGGGCAACATGAAAGTGCTGGTTGGGATATTCTGAAGGTAACTAAATAACTGGATTGTCCTGTCACGAACTGAAGCTTGTCAGGAAAGACGGGAAAAGAAATTTTAAAGATACCCCTATAGATTTGCTAAACTGAAAAATATGCAATGCCTGAAGAAAAAGTCTAACAAAAGTGGCTAAGATCTCTACAGAGAAAATGATAAAATGGAAAGGAATTCAAGAAAAGCTGATAAATGGAGACATCTAGAATGTTCCTGAATTGGAAAGCTCAATATTATTAAGATATCATTTCTCCTCAAACTGATCCATAGGATCAATACCATTCCGGTTAAAACTCCCAGTTGCACTTTGCTGGAGGTGAGGATGGCAGGAGAGGGAGCTGTGCCGCAGATCCTTTAGGGCCAGCTGGATGAGGCTGGGTGGTCCCAAGGCTTCAGTGTCTTCTGGCAGCTCTGACATCACCAAGGAGGGAGTGCACGGGAGCCTGGCATGGGAAGCAGCGTCTGTCTCAGCTACTCCACTGGCAGCTGCTGGTTTGGTAGTGGGAGCAATGATGTCACTTTGCTGCCTGGGATTTGCTGTCCAGGATGTCTCAGCAAGGGCAATGGGGGAGGAGAAGCTGCAGGAGGCCATGAGTGAGAGGCTGGGCTCCTCCTCAGTGAAACACGGTATGCCCAGCAAGGCAGGGGTTCACCGCGTGGAAGACTCCTAACTCCTCCCCTCCCCATAGGCTCCTACCTGGGCCACGGCGGGGAGAAGCAGCTGAGACCCACCTCTGCCCTCCCAGGGAGTAGCCAGTGCTCACGTCCCCAAGAGGAGGATGCTGGAGGGACCTTGACCTTGGCAGTTCTCTGGAATGGTCCAGATGGGAGAATGGACCCAGAGTCAAAGCACTCATTGGCCCTTCTGACCCCCTGCTTTCTTGAATAAGCTGCTGAAACCTCGAGAGGCCTGGCCCCATTCCCACGAGTTCCCAGTCTCTGCTCTCCTCTTTCTATCTGGGCCTCCTCAGCCCAGCTGCTCCAGCTTCACAAAGCCAGATGGTTTCTCTCATCCCCCTACCCTTTCTTCCAGTGATTTTCTGCCAGAAACTGAAGCATACGTCGTGGAGCCCCTCTTAACTGGGTTAGACAGTCTCTCACCCTGGCCCAAGTGAGTTTCTCCCGACTGTCAGTTCCCCCAGCCATCCCTGGCTTTTCTCAGCTGGTGGCATCTGCAAGCACCCAGGCTCTTTCCCTGAAGACTCTTTCCCACCCAGTCCTGAGCTGGTCCTAAGAAGGCAGCAAGCACAGGTGAGGTCTGGAGTTAGTTCTGCTGCTGCTGACCCTCATAGGGTGTGTCCCTGGTGATCCGTGGGGCACCCAGAGACTCTTTTCCACAGTCAATTGGACTTCTGTCTAGATTTCCCCATTAGCATTTTATTGACCTAGTGACACTGAAATCCGAGAGTCCTGAGCCCCTCCGGGTTCTTAACTGACGCCCTCTGGGGTGCAGAGCCTGTTCCAGGTGCTGGCCAGACTTGCTGCCTCATGGCCTCCTTGCCACTACCAAAGCAGGGCAGCCTCCTCACCATGGCCCCTCTCCAGCCCTCCCACCCGTGTCCTTGCCCTGCCCGTTGGTCTCTGCTGGGCCTGTCAGGCTTGGCTGCAGCCATCTAAGTCATCTAGGCCTGTGGTTTCTGCTTGCCCACCCCTCCAACACACACACACAGAGGATGTGGCCAGGATTTTCAGAGTATCAGCTAAGAATGGGGCAGTAGTACAGTTGCCACAGTCTTGTCTG